GACATTCGCTGATACAGAGGGCTTCACATACTCCCACTAGCACCCCCAACCCCGCTGATAATTCGACCGGCACTACAGAGGGCTTCATGGGGAACTTTGAGGGGCCGGGAGTTGGATACCAACACTGACTCCAGGTACTCATCTGAAGTTACCTCCACCTGACGAAAGTTGTGTCACCCTGTCCTTATAATGTCTAATTATTTTTTTTTTATTTGAAAGGTTAGATGACCAGATGATGGACTTTTTTTTGTCTGAAGCGAATTTTATTTACTTTGAATCTAATTACATTTGTTGATTGGACACTCTTTGTGTGATACTTTTTGTACGAGCATAACATTTATTTCATCAACATTTGGTGAAAACCAAAATAGGCACCACCAAACGTGCAGCAAAAATGTTTTCCCATGAAGACTAAGATTATGGTTTGTATTTATTTCAGTTTAAACAAACTTTGCGATCTTATCTTAAATTGAAACATATTTAACATTAAATGATACTTTTGCCTCTCTTGGTAATCCACTGGAACCACCCCTCTGGTGGGAATCAGGATAACCAGTGTTTTTGGGATCAAGACTGCGATCCCAATCCTTTGCTGTCGGGGTTTGAGACTACCCATTTTGAACGATTTGATCAGATTAACACGCTTGGATTTGATTTCCTGGGTCTGATCGGGATATCAAAGTGCATCCCTAATCCCCTGTTTTTTGGTTTTGAACTACCCAAAATCCCAAATCTGATTTGACTCAGATAGGGATTAAATTTTGGAACTCCTGGGCCTGGCCCTGAAAGTGCTATTCACATGACCTTGAATTTGATGTAGTAGAAGGCATGTGAAGCTAGGAGCGATGATTGGAATTTAAACCAGAAAATAAATTATAAATAGTTTAAACTCACAAATGAGGTGAGGATCCGTATGACACCTGCCATCATCTAATAAAAAAGAAAAGCTGTCCTGCAGGGAGGACTGATCTGTTCAATAAGTACAAACCAGTGATGTCATTGGGAGGAAGTGAGAGGGACCTTATTTTCATGGCAGGGACGCAGAGAGGACCACCAACATCTTCATTTCATGGCCAGAGAAACGGCGAAGAGGGAATGATTATAAAACATGCACAAACACACGCACGCACGCACGCACGAAAACACACACACACACCACCACACAACACACACACCACACTACATCACACATACACACACACACCACACACACACACACAACACACGCACGCACGCAAACACACACACACACACACACACACACACACACACACACACACACACACACACACACACACACACACACACACACACACACACACACACACACACACACACTCTTCCACAGACTGAAAGTCATGGAGCTGCAGCCCTTGGGTTTCGTTTCTGCGGAGATCCGTCAATGTATCTGCATATTATGCAACAAAACCGGAAATACTTCAAAAAAATAAACAATAAAGCAAGAACGTATTTATAAATAGCATGATTATTTTAATTGTAATGCCTGGTTCTTTCTTCATCTAACAATCTGTATTAAAATATATTTCCATTAGGCCTAGGCTACATGTTATTATTATAATAAGTAATTCGTTGTTATTTTAATATTTAATTTAGATACAAATAATCATCCTTGACAAAATGATGTCCTTACAACAGAAAAAAGACTGAAACACGAATTATATAAAAAAAATTATATGTACTTATATTTACAATACCAGAATGACACTTTGATTAAACAACATGGAATATGTAAAGTCTCTAAGGACCTCTTTATTTTTAATTTGTGTTTCATTATCACTTTTCTTCCGTCAAATCGATTCCAAGTGGTTTATTTTGAAGGCTCCACCGGAAGTCGAAAAGTAACGCGCTCAGCTGATAAAGTGTCCTCTCACAGGGTGTAAACACAGACATTTAACAACGTGCTTCACAGGGGGAGAGAAGGAGTGAACTAAGTTTCCAAACAGCGAAAATCATGAAATACTTCAGAAAAATACAATGGTAAGAAACATTACTTCATTTATAAACTAAAAGCTTAATTTACGGTACATTTAATTGTTAACATTTAGTTCGAATAATTTATCATATGTTCATACAATGATAACCCACATATTTAATTGTATATGTCAGTTAATAAGGTGTAATGCTGCTGGATTGAATATATCTGCAGAATAAAACCAATATTCAGTATGATTTTTTCCTTGTGTTCACCCTGTGAGCTGCTTCGTGCTGCTGAGCTGCTTCATGCTGCTGACCTGTAGATGGCAGCTGTTTCGTTTCTGAAGAAACTAAACAAGCCAGTGATAAACGAAACCTATCCCACTGAATTAGATTATAGTCTATGATGCTCACTGGGGACAGTACTGTCAAATGAGTTTCGATTTACAACTTAATATGACAAATACTTAAACATACTGTTTGCTAGCTCAGATGAAGACACTTCCGTTCTTAAGCATTAAATACACAGAATATTCCCAAGTATACCATTTCGAATTGCTTACTGACTCATGATGTTATTTATAATAATATATTAAAGTATTCTGTTTCCAAAGCATTTAATGAAAAATATTTTTAACTGTTAAAAGATCTGCATAATTATATACAGTATATAATAGCCAAGCTGTGACCCCACCCTTCATTACTGTAAGTGGAAAGCTTCTGAACACACTTTGAATAAATGATGGATATTTCAATAATGTTTGTTAGTCATTCTGTATCATTAGGATTCAGTTCTACATTTATTTTTGCTTTAAAGGTACAGTGTGTAAGATTTTCCAGAATTTAAATGTATAGCATTTATTAAATAAACCAACAGAAAGTAACGAGGTTACAGTGTTGACTTAGTGTGAAATATGTATTGTGTTGTGGATTTATAACACACATATACAATCTTATGTCATCTTTATTATGTTGGTGTGACAGATTATGAAAATAAATAATATGTGTTTCTCATAAAAACTTTGATTCTTTCAGGTTCTCCCTACAACTACAGTGTTTCCTGATTGTCAGTTTAGTTGGTGAGTATCAGCCTGGGTTGAACTCAAACAAAGTTAGTTCCACCTCAAAGGTGTAGTGTTTGCTTGCTACCTTAGTTTCAAGGATTAAAAGCAATTTTATCATGTGCTGTTCAGAATTAAATAGCACACACTCTCAAGCCCTACGAGTGTGTGGTCAGAGACAGAGCCAGTTGTTTAGGCAAAAAACAGTTGCTGTTCTCGGCAGAAATCACATAAATGTCATTGTATCAAGGCTATTATTATTCTCGGGAGAACAAATCACACTCTGTTAGTTTTTCCGGTGGCATATTTTAATTCTCTCCTTATTGTTACATTCGATTAACTTTAGTTCAAGCCCCTGCAAACAGAGAAGGAATTAAGACAGAAATATAATTGGACCTTTTGGGACTTAAACATTTTTGTGAAATCATCTGACACGTATAGATGGAAAAAGCCTTTACCGTGAAACTGCTAAAGACTGATCGACATCTAACATATGACAAGGAACATGCGAAACGTGCCACAATACTATTTTCCAAAGAAGCGTTTACAGGGTCTGTTGGCAACCACGGCATGATTAAGAACCCAATTTTCGTGTTTCCACTGCAGCCGTGCTGGTTCTCAGGTGATCTCAAGATCCACTGAGATGCATTCAAATATTGATTAATATGTCCGGAAAATAACCAGTTATATACATAAGAAAGTCTGAATTAAAATATAGATTGGACTGACCACATTTTATCGTAATGCCTTGTGGATCAGGACTGCGTTCCCAGCAGCGTCAACAGCATGATGGGATTACGACCGCCTGCTTAGAGCTGGCTTGGGAGACAGCAGTGTTATCAGAGGACAGCGTTGGGGAGGACAGGAACCCCCAGCAGCTCCATCAGCATCAGCCCTGACACCTGAACCAAGGGGAAACGACTCACCTTGATGAGAGGCCCTGTTGGCAGAGCACAGAGGCCTCAAGACTTCTCTTACACTGCCTGATCAGTTGCCTCAACCTGCAATCCAGTCACACCCAAATATGGTCCAGACACGACATGCCCGCAGCAAATCGTCCCAGAAAGCAAGCGACCCTGCATGTGCCCAAGTATGCCCCATAAGAGGGTGCACCGTCAGTCCTGTTTTCATGACTTTAGCAAAGACCTGACTAGCCAAGACCTGACCAGCCAAGTCAGGAGTGGAGGCACTAAAAATAGCCAAAATTCCACAATATCAGCGGGTTAAGGACATTGAACAATGAGTGGGCATGTCGAGTCATTCCGCTGCTGTCATGGAGGGCAGTGGAGACCAACACCATGAAGGACAAGGAGAGAGTCCGCTGCTACACAGACCTGCAAGATTGCTGACCAAATTCGACATGTCCCCAGAGATGTATGGACAGCAGTTCTAATCCATAACCGTACCACCTGCCAAGAACCCCTCCAAGACCTATACCACCGCCTTGAGGGTCTCGAACAGCACTGGATTCAGCCATAGAAGAATACGAAGGAGGAGGTTTGAGGGGCCAGCAACTTGTAGCAGATACTCCCTTTGGAGGTAATGGCCTTTGAGAAGGAGCATGATCCAGCGGAGGGGCATGCCGCTGCCAAGCTGGCTCTATAGCACCCTTATGTTTGCAGTGGAGGACAAATGAAATGCTCCACCAGTGCAGCACAGAGACAAAAACTCCAACCACCCCAGCCCTTCTTCTATAGACAACGCGGCACCTCAGTGAGCAAGACCACGCCCTGCGACGGTGCGGTTGAAAGATTGAACCAGAAGCGTGTGAAGATGCTGCAGACGTTTGTGGATGACTCTGGTAAGGACTGGGACACACTTTCTAGGGTCGCCTTACCATTCAAAACATATCCTCTTTGGACCACCATGATGTTGACAGAGATGGCAAAAGTATACAGTACATAATTCGCTCCAGTTTTCTTGCTGTCTTCTTCCTTGCTTCGTTGAAATAGCTTCGTAGGCTACCGGTTTGAGATAAGGCGCCATGTATTGATTCCTGCTGACTGAGGCCGTCTGCACAGCTCCAGGGATTATGGGAAACGCCTTGAACTGAGTTCTCGATTGTCCCTCTTCTTTAGAGAACACCAGGAATTTATGGATACACCAAATGTGTTTCCTGTATGACATTAGTTTGAAATAGGCGCGCAATGACTCTAAATAATAATGATCACGCCACCAAATGCAGATTAAAACTAAGGTAACAAGGACTGTTTGGAAAATGAAGAAGTAAAAGTAAAAAGTTGTCGTAAAAATAAATAGTGGTATTGATACCAGAAATATCTTGTACAGTAATAAAGTATTTGTACTTCACTGCTTCCCACCCCGTGTTGAGGACACTTTCCTCCATGTCTTCCAGACTCCTTTTCCCTGTCCTCCGCCACGAGCCCCCTGTCCGTCACCTTCAAGGTAGGAAACCAGGCGGTGCTTCCCTGCAGCTGGAAGCAGCGCCTGGGGGAGGTGACGCCCTCCACTTGCTACATCCAGTGGAACAGCCCTGCCGACACCGTATTTGAGCTGCAGGGGGAGAAGAAGTGGCAGGCGGAAGAGTTTCAGGGCCGGATGGAGGTTCCAGAGGAGAAGCTGAAGTCCGGGGACTGTTCTCTGGTCATCAGTGACGTGCAGATTGGAGACACGGGGAGATACGAGAGCTTCATGGTGGTGGATGGAGTGAGGTCCGCCAAAACCAAGGTCTTCATTCAGAGTGTCAAGCTGTCTGTATCCGGTGAGTTGGGCTTATCTTTCTATTCTTTATTTCATCTCATCAGTATTGGGCCGTGAATTTCACACCTAGGACTTCTAATCTCAAACGTAATACTCTTTTGTCCTTTGCTGTTCTCATTCTGCTTTGTACTTATATCTTTTCTCATATACTCTTATGTGATCGCATTTATTTTGTCTTTAATGATGCTGAGGTCTTTACTCTTTTGAATATTGTTTTCTTTTTCCTCTTAGACTATAAATCCATTCTGTCTCGAGGTCCAGGAGAGGATTTAGTTCTGGATCTGTACACCCAACACTCTGTGAAGGTAGTGTTCCAGGACAGGTAAGCTGCTCCCCTTACATTTCGCTTGTACTCTTTTCATTTCACATTTATCTCATCTATTATTTGCTCCTTTGGTCTCTGCTTCCACTCCCCACACTCCTTCGAAATGGCTGTTTGCGTCAGAGTAACACAGAGTACAGGCTGCTAGTGAAAATATGATTCACCGGATGAAAGCTTAACAGAGAATGAATCGTGGGTTTTAGAAAAAACACTTGACGTAGAACTTCGAAAGTAGGAAGATCTAATTTCTTAATGAAATGTTTCATTGGTTTTTCCCTATTATATTTAGTATGGAGCTTTGTCATGAGGCGGTGCTGGAAGCTGTGCTGTACTTTAGTTTAAGCTCCACGGAGACACAGGAGCCAGGTAGTATTTACACATCAGACTGTTTGTTGCTGAGTAAACTTTAAGGCTCTTTGCCCTCTGAGAAAATGACTTTCACAGGAAGTGGAGATGTATGGACTCAAATGTAGGAGAATGGAATCTTTTAACCGAAAATACTTTCTTTCTTAGCTGTAATGAAGGAAAGACAAAGAGAACAGAACTTCCTGTAAAACAACCTACAGGAATCCGATAATGACTAAAGGGAACTGTAATGTGAACTATAGAGGGGATATGTGCACAGGATGATTGCTGGGCTGATGGGGAACAGCAGCAACTAATAAGGCCAGGACAGACAATCAAAACAGGCGAAAAAAACAAAAAACAAAACAGGAACTAAAAAACATACATACCACTGAAAACGTCCAAATAAATGAGGAAAAATATCAAATAAGAACTATTTTTGTCTCTCAACAGAGTAGTGCAGTGACGCGTCCTAAAACCCGGAAGTAAGCGGCGCATCACGAAAATGATAAAAGTAGGGTTGACATGTGGATATTATCCGGCTGAACAAAACGTGCATTTATCTAACAGGTCCGTTTCCACAGACCTTATTTTGAGCTATTTTCCACAATCCTATGGAGAAATCCCATTGCTTTTTTGTCGAGGGAACCAGCGGGTTGCTTCCGGGCTTTAGGACGTGTCCCTTTACCTCTTTATTATGTTCGGTTTTAAGTCCCAATGCAAATACTTTATTGGGTTAATCTAGCGATCTGTAATGATTTTCTACGGCAAACATAACATTGCTAGCTGGCTAACAGAGGTTACTTCCAACTTGCCAACGATACATGGGCGAAATGAATTCACTGTGCAAGTGTTCATGGTCCAACATGGCAGTGTATGACATGGCAGTGTGCAAATAAAAGTGTCCAAATAGATTTTCAGCATAGGATCATGAAATAATCACTGTTCTAGCGTAGCATAAAAACCTTTCATCATAGTTTTATTATTTCTGCCTCTAACAGAAGTGCTCTGTGCTCCACAGGAACGGCTCAGAGTGGTCGGTTGTGTGGATGAGGGGGGAGGAAGACAGTGAACGAATGGAGCAAGATGTGGCAAATGAGCAGCTGACAATAAAGAACTTAAAGAGCTCGGACGAAGGAACGTACAAAGTTATGGACGAGCAGGGCCTCAGTGTCAGCACCGTGCTGCTGTCTGTTAATGGTGAGAGGCTCCTTCTCCTACTTTTCTTATATTTCACTGTTTGAGTCTTTCATCAAGCTTAAACAAACGCAAAAAGCTCTCTGATTCCAGCTTCTGAAATGCGCAACCATATAAATTAAGTTCTGATACAACTAAACTCCATTCTCAGCCTGTTTCGAGGGAAACAGATTTTTTCTCCTGGATTACGAACACAGTTTTAATCAGGGAGAGCAATCTGTGGCCCCTCGAAACCTAATGGAGAAGGCAGTTTGGTTGTTTAAGAACGTAATTTTTAGGAGACCAGGCTGGAATGTGAGGATTTTCTCCTTCTGGAAGCACAGGTATCCAGATTGAATATCTCACAATGTCCACAGGTAATTCCAATCCGCTCTGAATAAGGATTAAAACCACAGTCCTGAACCAAGAAATGTTTTGTTGAAAAAAATTCTCGTCTCTTCATGGTTTTACTTCATTAACTTTAAATATAGCAAGAACATATCCCATGTTTCTACAAATGTCACACTGATCTTTTTGCTAGTCTGCTTTTACCATACATTCACTTTCATTTCATTCCAGATCCTTCTACTGGTCTCCAGTAACTCTTGTGTTCTCCTAACCCGCCCCCCCCCCACCCAGCTGCACACCTGTTCACGCTTCCTTACTTGCCTTGTATATATTATCCACGTATTCCCATGCATATGTTTGGACCCCTGCTCTCCTTTTTTGACTCCTCGCCTGCTTTCTAGCTGGATACGTTTATTTGTTAGGGCTGGGTATCCTTTTGAAAAATACAATACCGGTATCTTTAAAGTTGTAATACCAATAAATCGATGAATTAGTTTGTGGTTCGATGCCCGAAATGAGCTCTGTGGTTAACGCAAGCTATAGAGATTTTCATTTTCTGTTTTATGTCAGTAAATACCCCGCTGGTGAATGTTTGTTTGTTTGATGATGTGTCTTAAAAATGGTGGTTGCTAACAAGTAGTTAAAGGAGACTACTACTAACTAAAGATTAGCCGCCTTTAGTTTAGCGGTGGTGCCATTAAGTCATTTGACGCTCAGGTAGATGGTTTATAGCCTAACATCAGCTTTACATTTCCGGAAATTGCATTGCTTCAACTATTCTAAAAGTGGTGTTAATATGTGGAGATTATCTTGCTGAACAAAATGTATAAGTACCATAAAGGTTTGTTAGCCACAGATCGTATTTTCTAAAATAATCCAAAATCCAACGGTAAATCCCCTTGCTAATTGTCGAGGGAGCCCTTGCTATGCTAACTAACGGGTTGCCCTAAAAAGTACATCATACCTGCACCACTCGTCACTGCAACCACATTGTATACCCATCATGTTAATGGAAGCATCTAGTTGGGCAAAATGCCACTGCTATTCCTCCCAAATCCAAAGGATTTTTATTAGAATACAAAGTTCAAATTATTTAAAGAATTATACAAATGATTATACCCCACACCCCGGACTGTGTGTGCTGCTGCAGTAATGGGTGAATAAAGCGTGGGCACATGAGGGTTAATGCAGATATTGTTTGACATGATATGTTTAAAGTCATCAGATAGCCCTTTTTGACTCATAGTTCCTAACTTCACCGTTGTGTTTTTGCAATGCTGTTCTGCAGATAAAATGTCCATTCCAGCTTCTCTAAATCAAAGAAGATGTCTCTAAATATTCTCTTGTCCCTTTTTTCTGCATCAAATGTTTCTGTCATACAAATGTTAGATGAATTTCCATCTCTATCACATGAAACTGATTTGAATGTTATGTGTTTTGACAGAAGGCTCCAAAGCTTTCAAACTCGCCCAGACAATGGAAAATCAAGTACCAACAGGTGAGGAATAATCTTTCGGCATATTCTGGGACAAGAACCAGACCAAAAGATAATTCACTTGATGGAAAACATGTTTGAAGTAACTCCAATAAAAAGTGATCTGAAATAACCTCTATCTCCGCCCTCTGATGTGTTCCAGATGGTACTGTCAGAGGCAGCTGTTCGGCTCTTCTTCTCTTGTCTGTTCTTGTCACAGTTTTCCAAATTCTTCATCTTTTCTAAGAAACTTCCCTCTACAAAATAACTGCACCTACATCAAAAGACTAAACACTATAGCCAGCAAACAATGTAAGTTCTGTTTTTACTAGATATTATCGTAGTGTTTCTGAACTTTAACCTAAAAGCTAATGAGCTAGATTGGACGTTTGTTGGATTGCAGTGAATTTAAGTTAAGTTTGTATTTGTCTTCAACAGGCTGACTACTAAAACCAATATGGTATCAAATGTTGGAACACAACGTGTTTTACAATAATTCGGAGTCATGCTCCTAATCCTAACAATCCTAATCTACGGTGGCCGACACAGGCACACGTGCTACAACGGCCTTAAACACTTGTGTTAGGACAAATGCCTTGCAATTTTCAAAAATTATGCAAAAAATTACAAATGTGCCGAAACACATGTAAATGAATAAATATATCTTCACCAACTTGACAACAGATGAGCAGCATTGAGAAAATATTCACCAACTTGAGGAAACATGTGCAGGGTTTACTAAATGTGCTGCATAAAGGAAGCGCTGCAACACAACGGAAACCAGGGGGAACTCATAAGCGACGCACACAGCTGGGACCGGAGCGCTTGGTGACGTTCGTGGATTGTAAAATTGGCCAAAGTTGGCCACATGTCCTAAAATGTTTTATCGGCTTATTTTATCAAATGTGATATCATGATCCTGCTGATATTATTGCAGATCTGCTGTGAGCTAGCTAGCTATGGTAGCTAACTTTCAAATATACTGAAAAGAACACTTACAGTTATGAAACAGAATAACTCTGCAAACAGAGACAGTTGTCCAACTTTATAATCCTGAACGTCACCAAGTGCTCCAGTCCCACCTGTGTGCGTCACCTTTTAGTGTCCCCTGGTTTCCGTTGTGTTTTGAGCTTCTTGCAGCGTTTCGTTTATGCGGCGCTTACGGTAAATGTTGCACACATTTTGTAAGGTTGGTGAATGTTTTCTAAACGCTACGCATGTGTTGTCAAATTGTGTTGTCAAGAACATCTGTGGTTTTGTATTTGCATCGTTTTTGAAAGTGCAGCGCCGTTCTCCTAATGGAAGTGTTTTGGAGAGAGATGTAGGATTGTTTCATGACTGGGAAAAATATAGTGACAACAATATTTCAAGGAGTTAAGAAAAACAAAGTATAGCAATTTCTCAAATCAGAGGTTCAATTGGAAAAACTGTGAAAATGTTTGGGGAATAATACAACACAAGACTGTTTACGCATGTATATGGGATGTTTGTTTGTGTGTGTATGTGCTTGCATTTGTATTTAATAAGAACTTTTTTTGTTGTAAATACTACTGATTCATTTCTATAAAGATTGAGTCACCTGTTTGTGTGATATTTGTATTTATGTATTTAGGCCCCAGTGTTGAAATTCATTGAGTTCATGAATAAATAAAAAATAAAGCCATCAAACACAACCATGTCATATTTCCATTATTTATTGTTAAACGCCACATACATTTGTTTCCACTGGAATCACTTTTTAGGCAAATAAGTGCAAACATATTAATTTTGCACAGCTAAATAAATAAGAAAAGGCACACCAGATCTTCCATATTCACTCCAATGAAGTGAGGGAATGAGTCCGTTAAGGGGTCAGTGTGGTGGTGTTCTGTATGATTCATTCAATTCATAATTTAGTCCCTTCTATTTTGTATTCTTCTCTCTGCTGATTTCATCAATACTTTTAGTCTGTTTATTGTTTCTAAGATATTCTGAATCCAATTCTGATATTGTTTTGTCAATCAAACCAACTCTGAAACGCTTTGTGTGGATTAATCCACCGCTGAAAATAGTCCCCAGGCCAGCAATTATTTCCTTCTGTTCTCTGGCGCCACCCAACGACCAGTGCAGCGACCCATTTCTGTTATAACCAACATACACAGAAGGTTGGTGACTCAGGTTACAGACAGAAAATCCAAAAGCATCTGTTTCAATGTATCGAATTCAACAGTAATTCCACGCACTCCACGGTCTATCACAAACAATCAGAGTGACAGTATATCGAACACACTTAAACTGGCTCTATNTTTTGGCATCACAACGCTGTAATGACGTTCTCTGGCATTCTACAGTTGATGTTAGCTAATCAGACTATCTTGACTACTGTTGCTATCAATATTGTGCAATAAGCCGTTTTCTACACGCATGTTTTCACTTATCGCGTAGTTTTCGTTATGCAATTTGACTTGTGATGGCCACATGTAGCCCATGTACGATTGATTCCATCCGATAGTTGCAATATACAAACAACAAGGAAAACGTCTGCCTCTAATGTTCATACAGTGAACGGAAGTTCATTAAATAAGGTAAAATAAACAGAATCACACTAAGCCTGGTTTGTGGTTGCTGACTTTACATAAGTGATTTTTATAAGTGGGTGTGGTCGCGTTCTAGTCACTTTGCTCAGCGCTACTGCTGTTACAACTTGTATTCCCCGATCTTGCGGGTTGCCGAGTGGGGCCGCTGAGAGAATAGACTACCAGACTCCCAGCAAAGGTAAATTGTGTCTAGAGTGCGCCATCTATGGGATCAACTGAAATGCCGGAGTATTGCAGGAAAAAACGCAAAATTAATGCGGTCTTTACTATAATTTGGACAATTTTTGTACCAATATTCGGCGGGCCGGATTCAAAAGCCCAACAGGCCGTATATGGCCCGCGGGCCTTAGTTTGCCCCATGCCTGATCTAAATGCTCTCTAGCAAACTTCAGACGGGCCTGGACATGTACTGGCTTAAGCAGGGGGACACGTCTGGCACTGCAGGATTTGAGTCCCTGGCGGCGTAGTGTGTTACTGATGGTAGCCTTTGTTACTTTGGTCCCAGCTCTCTGCAGGTCATTGACTAGGTCCCCCCGTGTGGTTCTGGGATTTTTGCTCACCGTTCTTGTAATCATTTTGACCCCACGGGGTGAGATCTTGCGTGGAGCCCCAGATCGAGGGAGATTATCAGTGGTCTTGTATGTCTTCCATTTTCTAATAATTGCTCCCACAGTTGATTTCTTCACACCAAGCTGCTTACCTATTGCAGATTCAGTGTTCCCATTCTGGTGCAGGTCTACCATTTAGTTTCTGGTGTCCTTTGACAGCTCTTTGGTCTTGGCCATAGTGGAGTTTGGAGTGTGACTGTTTGAGGTTGTGGACAGGTGTCTTTTATACTGATAACAAGTTCAAACAGGTGCCATTAATACAGTTAACAAGTGGAGGACAGAGGAGGCTCTTAAAGAAGAAGTTACAGGTCTGTGAGAGCCAGAAATCTTGTTTGTCTGTAGGTGACCAAATACTTATTTTCCACCATAATTTGCAAATAAATTCTTTAAAAATCAGAAAATGTGATTTTCTGGATTTTTTTCCCTCATTTTTTCTCTCATAGTTGAGGTATACCTAGGATGAAAATTACAGGCCTCTCTCATCTTTTTAAGTGGGAGAACTTGCACAATTGGTGGCTGACTAAATACTTTTTTGCCCCACCGTATATATAATGGCGTAATAAGCCATTGTGGGTAAAAAAAAAAGAAAGAAAAAATAACCTTGGAAAGAAGATCCTCTGAGATTAAAATGACAAATGCAGGAATCATTTATTAAAACAGTTTTCATAAAAAAGGATAATAATAATAACAAATAACATCAAATGAATACATTTCCCTCCTAATTAAGTGGTATTTTCTTGTAATTCATAAGGATCCCTGGTAACATGTTTTCATTGGTTATATAGCTTAACATAGTTAACACCTTATTTTAAAAACCGGTTGTAGTCACACTTGTAGCCCTGAGCACAAAGAGGACAGAGAAAGGAGGAAGGGTAACATCGTTTCAGATGTCTCATTGTAAAAGAGATATTTCATCTGAATGGGACTGATAGAGAATAAAAGCAACCCTCTGTGGTATTTACCTGGGTCCTGGCCAGGAGCAGCTGCTGGAAACCTTCCACCTCCTTACTGTCGTCTGCTGCCCTCTCCTGGACACAGAAAAACAAAGATTTCAATGTCCATCATCTAAGTCAGAGGACAAGGAGCAGGAATGAGGACACCTTTGATAAACATTTTCACATGACAGGAAATAAAAGAGTAAATCAGAATGAAAACAGGAGGTGGAGCAGCATGTGAGGCTGACCATGAGGACGCTGAGCATCATGTCGTAGTTGTTGATGAGGAAGATGAGCTGGTTTCTTCTGGAGGGAAACTCTGCTGCCATCTTCAGAACAAAGTTCTCCACCTCCACCTGGAAAACAAACACTCAGGTTTCATTCTGTACGACTGATTTCCTTTAAGAGGAGCCAGACATCCCTGCAGCTAATACAGTATCTCTTCTAAAGGAGAAACCAGAGACTCAGCAGCTCTTACACTAATCTAGATTGTTCCATAGCACTAAGGGTGAGAGGAAAGATAAGCATTTCAGATTTCTTCTTGAATTTTCCCTTTAAGTACGTAATTGGTTATTTTTTGCATATATTTTCTGCCCTAGTAACTTCATTTGTTATCAAAGTAATTTCACATTTTGTGGTTTATTTGTCCCAGGTGGCAAAAATGTCTATAAATGTACAACCTTCTGTCTTCTTACACAATGCTGTGTGTGTGTGTGTGTGTGTGTGTGTGTGTGTGTGTGTGTGTGTGTGTGTGTGTGTGCGTGCGTGCGTGCGTGCGTGCGTGCGTGCGTGCGTGTACCTGCAGCTGTCCCAGCAGAGTGTGTGTTTTCTCGTTTGTAAACGTCTGGTTGATGCTGACGATGGCCGACGAGAACTCTGCGTAACGACGAGTGATCTGAAATCAACAAACACACTCAAACACACTGTTGAAAGCGGTGATATGCAGGGTGTGTGTGTGTGTGTGTGTGTGTGTGTGTGTGTGTGTGTGTGTGTGTGTGTGTGTGTGTGTGTGTAGACCTACGTAGTGCGGTCTGGTATCCAGTACTCCCAGTTTCTGAGGGTCTGTGTTTCTGATGCTGTGGATGTTCATCTCCAGGATCAGTTCAAACCTCGGCCACAGCAGCTCCAACACCGCTTCCCAGTACCTGACACACACACACACATCATAATCTAGGATATAACGTAGAGAGCAGATGGTGGAGGAAAATAGAGTTCAACTTAATAGAGTGGTGCAGGAAAGAGTCCCAGAAAACAGTTAAGATTTCACCACGTATGTCTCTCTCATCTGGAAGTCAACGTTTTTTCGACGTTTTTGTTAGAAGCCAGAAATAAGGCCTGAGGTTAGGACGAGCTTTAGATATATTTACGTTTTGTTCTACCACTAATATGTCAGCAGGGTATATGCAGAAATCCTGGGGTCAAATTTAATACCTTTTAAGACCTTTTTTAAGACCCTTTCCATACATTTTAAGACCTTATCGCAACTTTGAGTTCTAACCGGTTACATTGGCTGACACACTTTACCTCACATTTACTATATTGATTGTAAGATAGCAAAACTAAACAGAGTGCAGACAGACTACTGAAGCCTCCTTTCCACATGAACTTCAACCTCTGACCTGTGAAGGTCAGGTTTAATGCAGTATGCTGCTTTGTTGCTTCTGTACTCTGTGCTCTTTCATTCCAGTAAAACTCCTCAGAAACCATTAGAAACCAGTATTTGACCAATAAACGAAACAATTGACAAAACTTTGAACTATGAATTATATTAAACTTTGGTGAGCTTCAGCGGGGTAATGCCATAGGAGCTCCCTCACAAATACCCAGGGATTAAATTGGGCTGGGGCTTTCCGGGGTTAAGCCCTGGCACATAGAACGATGCTATGACGTCATCACCCTCACACATTTGTCATATGTTTACAAAAAACGATATACAGGACTGTCTCAGAAAATTAGAATATTGTGATAAAGTTCTTTATTTTCTGTAATGCAATTAAAAAAACAAAAATGTCATACATTCTGGATGTCATTACAAATCAACTGAAATATTGCAAGCCTTTTGATTATTTTAATATGCTGATTATGGCAACGCCTTAAAGAAAACTCAAAAATCCTATCTTCAAAAAATTAGAATAGTTCCTCAGACCAAGTAAAAAAAAAGATTTATACAGCAAAACACAATCAAACATTTGAAAATGTCCATTAATGCCACGTCAAGTACTTGGTTGGGAATCCTTTTGCACGGCGATTACTGCATCAATGGCGGCGTGGCATGGAGGCAAATCAGCCTTGTGCGCATTGCTGAGGTGGTTTTATGATGCCCAGGATGGCTTCAATAGCGGCCTTTTGGCCCTCATTAGCATTGTTGGGGTCTGGTGTCTTTCAGGCTTCTTCTTCACAATAACCCCACATATTCTCTATGGGGTTCAGGTCAGGTGAACTTTGCCAGGGCCAATCAAGGGACAGCTAATGCCCATGCGTCAGTACACTCAGTTACTGGTGGTTTATGCGCCACTGGTGTGTGGTGCCCAGCATCATGCTGGAAAATGAATTCCTCATTCTCCATAGGAGCTTTTCAGCAGACGGAGCATGTAGTGCTTCTAAAATCTTCTTGGTACACAGCTGCCATTATACTCTGGGCTTTGAATGAAACACAGTGGACCAACACCAGCAGCTGACATGGCTCCCCAAACATCGCCTGACTGTGGCGAACTTCACACTGGATTTCAAGCAACTTGGATTTTGTCTCCTTCTCCAGCCTTTCTCCAGACTCTGGGCGCCTGTTGGAACTTCCAAATGAAATACAAAATCCTTGCTTTTCGGGTCTGAAAAGAGGACTTTGCGACCACTGTGCCAACTGCAGTGCCTTCTTTCCTTTAGCCCAAGTCAGACGCCTCTTTCCGTTTCTTGATCTCAGAAGCTGGCTTGACCATGGGAATACGGCCATATTGCCTAGCCAATTTTCCCGGACACGTCTGTGATGAACAGCTGACTTTTGCATACCTGCGACTCCCATGCTTCAGTACCACTGGGTCTTGAAGGCTCCCCAAATTCTGGAAGCCGATCTTTCTTCACAAATGCTGTTAAGGCTGCCGGGTCATCTCTCTTGCGTTGTGCCAGCCGTTTCTGCCCACATTTCCCCCTTCAACAGAACTTTTTGGGATGTGCTTTGAAACTGCACTCTGCTGAACAGCTTGCCTCTTTGAGATAATTTATTTTTGTGTCTTACCCTCCTGATGGAGGGTGTCAATGGACGGTCCTCTGCGAACAGCAGTCAGATCAGCAGTCTTCCCCCATACTTGTTGATTTAGTATTACTGACCAAGCTGGAGTGGTTTTTAAGGCTCAGGAAACCTTGCAGGCCTGTTTCGAGTTAATTGAGACGATTCAAGTGATCGGTTGCAACACCCTAACTAGTTACTTTTCATGATGATTCTAATATTTAGAGATAGTGATATTTGAGTTTTCTTTAAGCTGTATGCCATAATCAAGCAATATTAAAATAATAAAAGGCTTGCAATATTTCAGTTGATTTGTAATGAATCCGAATGTATGACATTTTTGTTTTTTTAAATTGCTTACAGAAATAAAGAACTTTATCACAAATATCTAAATTTTCTTGAGACGTGCTGTATATGTTAAGATTTTGCTCGTTCTTAAATCTGATATTAGTCTATTATTGTGTTGACTTTACTTTAAATAGCAGATCTCTGTGACCGGATATAGTTTGGCTTAGACGAGGACGCATACGGTAAAACGCATACGCAAACGCAAAAAAGTCTTCCGTTCACACGCATTTGATCATTAATGTGTCCGTTCACACTAGACCGCTGGAAATGCTGGAAACGGCTGTTAGTACATATGCCAGGCCTGTAATGTAAGTGCGCTGCTGGCCACAAAATACACCCAAAAGCAGCGAATAAGACTCCGGAGCCCATGTTGCCATGGTGCCCTTCTGTTTATTCTCCGCTGACGACGTGTTCTTCTGCTGTATATCTCTCAGGTAGCCACCAGCAGATGATAAACACCCACCTCTTCGCCTTCTTCCAGGGACGAGGAACCGTGCGGCAGATTTTCCGTTAAAAACGTATGCCGGTCTACCCACCTTGGGACCCGTTACCGTAGTCGTTTATTAACGTGTCCGTTCACATTAGACCGCTGGAAATGCTGGAAACGAGGCCTGTAAGTGGCGCTGCTAACGACTCTGTTCTCTGTATAATAATATAATAATATTTAATAAACGGTGCCTGCATCTCTTTTCCTCCCCCTCTTCTGACAGCCCAGCAGCAGCAGGAGACGTTGGGAGAGGGAGGCGGGCTATTTCATCGTAATCAGAAAATGATCATATATAGGGCTTACACACGGAGCCGTTGGACCCCCAGAGCGTTGCGTATGCCGGTCTACCCACCTTGGGACCCCCCCACCCCCCACAGAGCGGAGCAAGGCAACGAAACTTAAAATAAGAAGCAGCATTTTACGGCGCGCTATGGGGGCCGCCTTGAGGGGGTTTCCCGACATGTCGTTTCAGTAAATTAAAGGGTGTTTCATGTTGTCGTTGCTGTGGGACTTCTTAATACCTTGGAAAATGCCGTTTAATACTTTTTAATACTTTTTAAAAGCCTTAATTTTCGCTAAATTGATTTATCAGCTTTTAATACTTTTTAAGAACCCGCGGACACCCTGGTCAGTAAATACCGCACTGGTGAATGTCTGAAGCTCATCAAAATGGCGGTTGCTACAAAAGTCTAAATGAGACTACTAAACGTCATCGTGCAGAACTTTAACTTTAGCTTAGCGGTGGTGACGTGAAGTCAAGCGACTGTGATGTGGTTTGTTTATAGCCCAATGTTAATAACAGTGTTAATATGTGGAGATTATGTTGCTGAACAAAACGTGTGTTTGCCACAGATCTTATTTTCTCCAAATCAAGTTTTTTGATGAGGAAGCCCTTATTATGCTAACTTTCAGGTTATCCTACAAAGATATGTCATCACTGCACCGGTAGGATAATGTCTGCAGACACAACCAAGCTGTGTCTTCCCCCTGCTGGGTGGAAATGCTTCTCAGGCATAGTTTGCTTTTGAAATGACAAACTGATGAGACTGACTTGTCGAGAGCGGGTATGGTCCTCTTGACGGTGATGGCTCTGAAGCGGAGGATGATGTGGATGCAGAGGAAGACGGCGATGCTGTCGTAGCAGTCGGACACATAAGTGGACATGCTCTTCTGCAGGGAGGGAGCACACACACAATACACTGAATATCACAATATGCCACCATGTTGTCTCTAATGTAGAGTTAAGAGGAGCTGAACCTGAGGTTTGAGCACAACAGAGAAGGTTTGTTGGTCGTACCAGGAACATGCTGAGAGTTTTTCCCATGATGCTGTTGAAGAGGTCGAGGGCAGAGTTTCCTGTCACCATGAAGAAGTCGGAGAGGAAGAGGAACTCCCTGCAGCCGTTGTCCAGCAGAGCGTAGTGCTGGCTGCGGAACAGCGTCTCATAGGGATACTGCGGGAGGAACATATGTGTTTACATCATACACAAAATCTTGAGTCACAATTTGATTTGGATTCTTGTCGCCATGACTCAGTTTAAAATGAATTGTATTTAGTACATAGAACTAAAGATATACTTAAATATTCTGAGCTTACAAAGGCAATGATGGCATGAAAGCAAAGTCAAGTGCGTGAAAGATTATGGAATATTTATATTTTAAACACCTATTTCCATTTATGACAATCACATACAAAGGTAAACCTAGGACACATTGTAATATGTATGTATTCCTAACTTGAACAAAAAACACAAGAAAACAATACAAAGTTGCAAATACAACAAGTTCACTTTGCATACAAATACAAATACAGCCTGTTATATAAATTACAATGGTACACTTACCACTAGTTTTTACTTTCTTAAAAACTTGCCCTGTTAACATTTTATTCTACATAAAATAATATATAAAACTGGCATTTCTGTGGGATGTATCAACATATAACGGATTATTGCTTGAAACAACTTTGACTTAGGTTGTATGATTACTGTCAATCACTAGCTGTAAAAGGTTTGTTGGCAGAACATTGTTTTTAATAAAAATTATTTTAAATACCAAAAAAAAGATCTGCCACAAGATGTCAGTGTTGACCTACACCTCAGTACATGATGATAAGTGAAGCTTCATATCAGCGTTTCTGGAATACATTTTCTTCTTGTACTAGGCGAGATGGACTGAAATGTTCAATATATTCTGTTTTTTAAAACAGATTTCCCTTTTTTTCCCTTTCAATAACCCGTAATCATTTGTGCATTTTGTTCTCAAACTCTACCTCATGCATTTACATTTATAAAATATATTATATTTGTGTAAGACGTTCGTCTACTACACTGTATGCTAACTTATTCTGTTTATCGCATGTTGTGTCATCCATCAATGCTTATTTTATTAATGACTTCCGTGCAATGCCTTGCTAACATGCTGCTCAATATTTGTAGCTTCTTGCAGCTCTTTGTTTATCCAGCGCTTTTAGTAAACGCTGCGCATGTTTCCTCAAGTTGGTGAATGTTTTCTAAATGCTGCCCATGATCGGTCAACTTGGTAAAGATTTTTCTTTATTTGCATGTGTTTTGGCACATTTGCAGTTTTATATTTGCATCGTTTCTGAAGCTGCAGCGTGTTTCTCCTAATTGTAATGTTTTTGAAAGTTTTAGCGTGTTTGCACCTGTCAGCCACCGTTCATTTGGCACATTTTTGCTGCGTTCACACCGGACGCGATGCGAATATTCGCTTCGTTCTAATCGCTCCTATCGCATTGCTCTAAACGCTCGAGTTTCACCGCGGCTGTCAGCTGTGTTTACTCGTATCATTCAAACAAGACGCGCTGGCTCGGGGGACAACTACAACAAAATGAACATATTTTACTGTGATTAAATTGTAATACACGTTTCTAAATGATGCCGAAGTAACAACATACTGATACCGGTTAGTAAAAACCATGAATTAATGCTTGACCAGTCTGCAGACAAGACGGCAGGCGAAAAACCTTTTAAAATGCTTGTTTTCTGAATGGAGATCGGGTCGACCAGGCTAAGCTGACGTTGTATATGCTCCGTCCCAACCCAGTGTCACGGCATTTCGTGTTATAGTCACGACATTTAATCTATTGATTCGCGTTCACCAACACGATTTTCGAAAAGCAATGTATTTCTATTGGTAGTATGTTTCGTGCCTGCAGCTCGTCTTTTTGTCCGTTCGGGTCTTGGAAGACCGGAAGCTGTGGGGTTCATAAAAACATGTTCTTACTCTTACTATTACTATATTGAGTATATATATATATATATATATATACTCAATATCAATATATATATATATAATATATATAATATCAAGCCACTATTATTGTTTTTATTTTAAATCGTATAATGTCAGACTTTTTTGGTCGTCTGTGAGGAAAAGAAATGGGGCTCAGAGCCTCAGAATACTGAAATCTGTATTTTTTTAAATCATTTTTTCCTTTTAATTTGTTATTCTTTTCTAAATAACACTGTTATTTACTCACCAATAACACACAATTATCCTTGTTTTTATTTATTTGTTTAATTCCATAATCTCTGGCTTTTTTGGCGTCCGTCAGGAACTGAATTTCAAAATAAAATAAACAGAAACAGACGTAGGCCTATGGGCAGGGCCGTGCACAGACATCTGGAGGGGCTATTGCTCTAAACTGGAAAAAGGGCATCCCCCCAAAAAAAATATAAGACCAAAACGATTATTACATTAACTAATTTGAACAGTAATTCATATCATCATCTCATTACAAAATAAGTAGGCAACTACTTGCATTCTGTGACTTGATTTTTAAAATGAAAACCACTGACTTTTTTTGTTTTAGAAACTATTAAAAGAAAAAATGGGGACAATTCTGTTCTAATGTAGTTTGACCTTTGTAACTGTTGTGCAGACATTCTGATAAAATAGAATGGCTTCTATAATTACCTTAAATAAACTCACTAATTAATGAAACTAGTTCAATACGAGTTATTCTTATTCTTATCATTCGTTATGANCACAGTATAACAGAGTCCACCATAAAGGGTGCTCTCTGACTCAGACCAGCCGTGTTTCTATTACCGCCGTTTCCCCACGTGATTTTAGCAGCGATCAGCGCTGCCTGAATCCACGACATACGCAATTAATAACTAGTCCGCAGCTGTGCCTGCGGGCGCTCATAAGACTCATAGCGATAAGAACTAACCTATCATTCCTGCTAGTTGAAACTCTCCACGAGCTTAGAGAAACAGCAGTTAAGGATCCCGTATCACAACAGAACATGTACGCCGCAAGGTGCTCTCGCAAGGCAAAACAGACTACACAGCACTGTTCCCTAATCGTTCAAACTTATCAGGATTCACAGGAGATAACCACATAGAGGAAGGAACTTTTTACCAATCCAGCTTTGATTAATAAAGGCATCGATTCGGCCGTCCGGTCCCTTCCGTGGCGCATCCGAACGTGGTCTCTCATAAATCACATTTTTTGCCGGCTTGAAATCATCCCCGAACGCCTCTGGTGGAATTCAAGTATGCTGGAATTTGGAACAGTCCTTCGGGGACTCGATGACTAGCATCTTGAATATTGACTGGAAGCCAGTTTCCTCGAGATTGAGCAAACGGCTTGGTTCAAATCTATAGAAGACACAACAGTATTCCGCCACCCGAGGGGCAGCATAGTCCGTGATATCATAATAGCAAAATGGTATGGGCAGGCTTTTTAAGAGCAGAATTGTAGGACTTTTTTTTGCTCGCACAGAGCTGACCGAAACGCACGAATGCGGTGCAGTCAGCACACTGAGAAACGGCTTATGGGGGAACGAGTGCGGCTATATGAGCCCAAACGTCTACGCTGACCGAGCGAACAAAAGAAAGCCCCCAATTTGGGATGCGTTCGGGATACTTCAGGCCGCAAAAAAATGTATTTATGAAAGATACACTTCGGATGCGCACAAGACCGGACGAGCCGATCGATAGCTTATAACAAAGCTGGAGAAAACGACATCAGCATGTCGAGGTACGTGACCTGAAAGGATGAACTGATTAGGACAGGCGTGTATCTGTATTCGCCGCCGAAGCACCAGGACCGCGGACTGCGTGTAACGGGACCCTAACGCTGCAACAGCTGGTGGAGTTTCAAACCTGGCAGAGGAGGAATCACGCATGAGGCGTATTGAAGCCCCAGGCACAGGCGGACAGCTATTAATGCTATGGTGAAGCAGGCGGACGATGCAAAACACAGTGGAAAACCGGCGAAAGAACACGGCGCTGAAGAGGCAGCAGTGACCTGCAAATACCTGTGAAAGGGACACAAACGGGGCAGAGAGCATGCCCAGCCATTCGTAAGACCCTGCGAAGCATAGTGGCGTCAAATCACTTGCAAAAGTATGTCAGAGCAGCAGCAGAGCAGAGAAAACAGAAAAGTTAATGTGTTGACAATATCCAGCACGAGGGGACCTCAGTATACAATGAAAACTTATCAATGTCAATGAATAGTGGGGAATGTGAAAGCGCCTGGACCGCAAATGGTTGTGCACCTAACCTCAATCAAGAATAGACAGTATGGCAGCTAGATACAGGGCCACTTACAATGTTAGGGGCCGCCAGCTTTAAACGAGACACTGTCACCAAAGACAGGCCTTACAGCCGACCAGAAACAAGGCTAAAAGCTGTACTCTGACACATACAGCCATCCCTGGGGAAATTTCACACTGACTGTGTGGTCAGGGGGGAAAAACACAACAGACTTGTGTTGAGATAGTGAACACCAAACAAAAGCCCTGCTGAGGTGGGTGCTGCATGCACTGATCTGGGCCTTGTGAAATTCACCTTATTCCAAGAGAAGTACTTTGCCAGCGGAGGTGAACACTATTGATGCAAGCCGGTCTAGGCCACTCACACAAGAATGCTTCGAAAGACTTTCATGATGTTTTCCATGACCCGATCGAAGTCCAGTTCCCAGGTAATATTCATTTCGATCTGAACCCTGAAGTGAACACCAGTCCAGTGCTCACCACGAAATGTCCCTGAAGCGCTTAAAAGCCGGTTAAGAAGAGCTGGACAAACATGGTGAAAGCAGGCAGACCTTTACGCCAGTGGACAGAGCCAACAGCGGTGGGATAAGCAACAATGGTGACAGTAGCTAAACGAGACAAGATAAGAATCTGCATTGACCCACAAGCCTCTCAATCAGGCCACTTTCTCAGGTCCCATGTACCACATGCCCACGCTAGAAGACGTCTTTGTACAAACTGCCCAACGGCTCGTGTCTTCACACTGGTTGATGCTCGTGACGCCTTTCTCCATTTGCAAGCTTGATGAGGAAAGGCAGCCGCTTGACGACATTCTGGACCCCATGGGGTCGGATGAGATGCGCTCAACTCCCCGTTTGGAGTCTCGTGGTCGCACAGAGATCTATCAGCGGCAAGCAACATGAGCTGCTATCAGGCCTGGCTGGCATCGAGCCTATTGCGGATGACATCCTGGTGGTCGGGTGTGGCGATACGGACGCAGATGCTGAAGAGGACCACAACACCAACTTAAGAGCTCTCATGCAACGGTGCAGGGCTGTTAAGCTCAGATTGAGTGAACGCAAGCTGCAGTTCAAGCTCAAAGCTCCAAAGTGTAAAATGTAGCCTACGTTTAAATAAAACTATAATTATAGTAATGTGAAAGACTTTCAGAAATAAATTGCACATAATAATTCCCACGGAGCTGTGAGCACTTATACATTTATGTGACGCTTTTCCACTCATCTTCCAGTTGTCTGTTTTCCTCTGTTGAAATGGACCAGCTGTGAAGGTGGGGGCGGGGCTTTTATACGCGAGTAGTGAAAACACTTCGGCGTAGTCTGCTCGCTTGTATCCTCCCTTTCGTCTCCTCCCTCACCCCTCCTCCCTCACCCCTCCTCGACTCCTCCGTGTGCATTTCAGCTATTGGGACGTCCTTCAACATGGCGTGTCTTGATCCATTTCCGGGTCAAGTCCCGGAGGAGGGGAAGAGAGGAGTCGAGGAGGGGTATTGGGATGAGGCTCCAATATTCGTTATACATTATCTTCTACTGACTCCACATGCAGTGCATTGTGGGATCTCTTACCTCCAGTATGGAGTCACAGGCGGTGATCTGGTTGTGCAGCAGAGCGATGTTCTGACTCTCCTTGATGTCTGACAGATCAGCAGTTAGGAACATTACAATCATTTAATAATGATAAAGCATTTTAAAAAACAACAACAACAAAACAAAATACGCCATTTGTTTTACATCGTGAACAAAGTGAAACGAGTGATTACAATGTTTGTATTTGAAGACATCACTGAAAGGAACCAAGATATTTGTGGTAATACTCATATCAATCATTTGTTTGCATTCATATTGTATATCAGCAGATAAGCTTTTTTTTGTCTTTGTTGACAATGCACATTCAAAATGTAATTTGGCACCTAATAAAGAATAACAATTCTTCTATTTTTATGATGCAGTGATTTATTTCTATTCCTTCTGTATTTGGGACTGTTGCATTAGAAAAGACACATAGCCCAAAGCAATGGACTGAAGCCAATGTTGATCTCTTTTTAAGCTGTAATAGAAATGAAGTATAGACCGTAACATTCAAAGGATACAGTCTTTAATGGAGGCTTGTTCAATCCTCTGCAGCTCTGACTCCACCTGCTTGGAGTACTGACGGAGGTCAACACCCTGAATAGACAGGAGGAGGGAACACTTTGATCAAACAGTGTACTGAGAAAGGCTGAGGAAAACATGCCATCAATTGGCTCATATAAATGCAGTTTTCACCTAATTGAATAGACTTGTATTTGGTTTCAATATCTCTTATTGAATCTCACTCCCCTAATATGTTCTTAATGAATGAAGGGAGATAGCAATGACAGATGACATATTACAATAGTAACAACAACAGGTGCTGAGCGTCTTTTTTGACGACAGGTAGTATTTGTTTTTAGAGAAATACTTTCATTGCTCTCTTAGACCTCCATGTTTAAACATCAGAGCCACAATGCGCCTACCGTTTTGAGCGCCTCCTTCACAAGGTCATCCTCCAGATTGGCCTGGATATGAACTTTAGGAGAAAGAGACAAAGGGCAGTCATGACAAATCAAACTTCAAACTGAAACTCTGGACCACAGATTGTCTCTACCAGGCTGCAGCTTTGAGTTATGAACTTCAATCTGTAGTTGATGCAATATAGAAGGTTTCATAGGATCTAGTTGTCATGCAAGTAGTTGATGCACATTGTCAAAATGTAAAAGATGTAATGTCAGGCCAAGAAGAAAGCAAAATTCATCTGTGCTGATCTCCTTTGTATCCAGATCTCATTATGAGACATTCAAATGCTAAATGTTGCCTTACTGTCCACTTCATCCAGGATGAACTCATCAGTGGTGAGGTCTAGTTCTCCCAGGTTGATGTCTTGGATCTCTCCATCAGTCTTCTAGAATAAAAACAGACATAGTTATAAACAAATAATTATTTAATGTGTTGAAAGGTCTCTGGAATTATTTTATTTTTCTCCTTTGTCACTGTGACGGATCACCAAACATTTCCACGGGCTATAAATACATATTTTCAGTTTGTGGTACCAGAGAGTATATAATATATGGAATATAATATACAATGTCATCCTTTTCCCAATTTTCTTGTAAGTAAGGATTTTTTTCCCTAATACAAGGAAAACGTATTTATGAAAGTGTCATATGACCTGAAATGTTCACTGCCTCAGAAAACATGGATTTGGCAGGTGGCAGGGTCATACTGCATTTCCCAGAGGAGGGTCAAACTTTTAAAAACAAGTAATGGATGTTGAGGGTCCTTTGGACTGAGTGATTTTGAAGGCTTTGGATATAAATTGGTGGTAAGAATAATAATTGCTGTGCTAACTTGAGCCAACTCAATTTCACTGCAATTACATGTTGTTTTCATGATCGACTGATTCATCAATTGTCAATAAAGTATTGGTGAATAAGGAAACATGTCCATCATAGTTTTCCAGAGATTTTGCTTTTAAATGGCATGTGCTAGTTATATTTCCTGAAGTTGGGTCAGAAATGTGAATTATCGGCCGATTATTGCAACGCATATGACGTCACATTTTTCATCCAGGAAATCATTCAGCTTTCCAGTGTTTTGACAGGGTGCTAACAGCTACATTGGCTTAAACTTCAAGCTGCATACACACCCTTCGTCAAAAATATCCAATTTGAAAAAAGTTCTTATTAACACTCAAAGCTATTTATCTGTCCATATAGCAATATGCACTGCAGTCAGCTATGTACAGTTGCAGTTCATTGATAATGACTGTCTCTGGTTCTGAATGCTAACAGGATACAGACATGAGAGACCATAAACACATATTACAGTTTTTCACAACTACTGAGATTCAAATAGAAGTTATAAAATGTCACCTCGTCTTGTAAGTACGCCATGGCCATTTCTGTCGGGTTTCCAGCTGTGTTGACATCGGGACCAGCTCCCCCAGCTACAGCCACCTCCGCCATTGAAGCGAATTTACGCTAACGTAAAATGAAGTACAGATGTAAAGTTCCACCTCGTCGTTCGCAGAAACGGAAGAAGCGTCCTTGCGTTTATGAACATAAATATATGTACACAATGACAGTCTCAACTACATTAAGGTCAACTACATTGGTTAATAAGTACTCCGTCGGACAACGTAAACATGGCTAATTATATTTATTTGTGTTTATTATATATTTTGTATCTAACCGGTGTATAAAATCGGTGGACCAACTTCCGTTCACGGACAGTATCAAACTCTCGCGAGAGCCTTTCAGCTTCCTCTTCGCACGGAACCTACTTCCAAGATGGTGAGTACATTTTTTGTCAACCTGGAATACTTTGGAAATCCGCAATCATCAGGCTTTAATCGCTGTCATTTGCTACAAACATACGTTTATTGAATATTAGACAGTCTTTGCAAGTGGAGTGATGTTGAATTGCTTGCGTATTGGTCACAGAAATTGACATAGTAACTCGATTTACTGTCAACGCCGAGCTGAGGTGCAGCTAACTAGCATGGAGGCTTTTCCATCTATTGATACAACGTAATTGTATTGATGTTTTTATGCTCCGTTTATAGCAAAGCTTTACAACCACAAGGTATATTCCAAGTTACCGGCGTCGTTAAAGTTACAGAAACACTCACATTTTAGGCGGCTACCTGTATACGCTAACTAGCCTTAAACCTCCTTATGACTTATGTAGTTGCATGTCTGGAGGCACGGTACATGTTTCACCGGTGAATGTGCCCCGGCAGCCGGTTCATATCATATTGAAGGTTGAGTTGCTTTGGAATGGGTAACCCATTGGTCTGAGTAGTTTTGAAGGTTCTGGAGGTGCACAGAAGTTGTTGCTTAGAGTAATAATAGCTATGCTAACTGGAGCCAAAACTGTTAGCTTCAGATGCACACATAAGTTGTGTCCCAATTCAGAGGCTGGGTCCTCCGCGGACTGCGAAATGAGGCGCTCTACGGAGCATGTCCTTGTACGTCACCGGCAGTTACCCCAACATTTTGCCGTCACCTAGCAACCAGCTGCAGTCACAAGTGCCGGTAATAATTTCTGTGACACTAGGCAAAAATATTTTCACACACAGCTTTACTATACTTCCAGAATGTTATTTGACCATGTACTACTGATCAGAGCAAAAAACCCATATAAAATTCAGACTTGAGAGAGAAAATAACATAACGATACACAGTTTTTAACTTAATAACTTCTTTCTTGTAAATGAAGTTAGTCTTCAGCCGTTTGAAGGTAAACATGCTGCTCAAATGAGGAGTAATGGACGAAACAGATGGCCACCTGTAGAAAAAACAGCCTTCCATAATGTTTGTCCCACTGCCATTACGGCTACCCTTATTTTAAGTATCGGCTACTTCAATAAGGGTTATCACCGCTAATATTGATCAAGCACTATTTAAAAAAAGAACAATGTCTGAACTTGAGATTCCTGCCCTCCTAATGTTCTGAAATCTTCTGTTTTCAGTCTCTTGTCATCCCTGAGAAGTTCCAGCACATTCTTCGTGTTCTCAACACGAACATCGATGGTCGGAGGAAGATCGCCTTCGCCATCACTGCCATCAAGGTATGGTTTTAGAAAATGAAATGCTTTGTGTTGTGGTTTTAACATGCCTTCACAGGTTATTTCTTTTTATTTACATCTTAATTTGAGATATGGATCTCGTGGGTTATTCTTGATTTGAAGTGTTAGATAATACTTTTTTTTATCATATTTATTACATCTCATTTGTGAAATTGCCTGATCCTTAAGTCCTGTTTCTTCGCAGGGTGTTGGCAGACGTTATGCTCATGTCGTCCTGAGGAAGGCCGACATCGACCTCAGCAAGAGGGCCGGAGAGCTGACCGACGATGAGGTGAGAGATCTGGGGCTGTTCACAGGGTCCTGGCAGCAAATGGGAAAACATGTTCAACTCTTGTCAAAGTGGAATGTTTTAATTTCCAATAGCTTTGTGGACAAATGAGTGAGAAATACTTCAAACATTTTTGACAATATATAATGCCAAATGTTTCCTGATTCTGTGTGCAGAGGCTACAGTCATGTGTTTACGGTTGTGCGTCTGTGGCAACATTCTGTATTCAGATTGTGATTTTACTTGGTTCCACTTTATTATTGTTCTTGTGAACTAACAGCTGTGTGTGTTGTCAGGTGGAGCGTGTTGTGACCATCATGCAGAACCCTCGCCAGTACAAAATCCCTGACTGGTTCCTCAACAGGCAGAAGGACGTGAAGGACGGCAAATACAGCCAGGTGGGTGACAGTAAAGCATTCTAAATCATTCCAAAAGGTTTTTAGCATTAATAGTTATATTAAACCTAAAACGTCAAGTTATTTGAGCAGACTTTACTTATCTTTATCACAAACGTATGAATGAATCAAAAGTTGAAAGCCAGGGCTCCAGCTTGTTTTGGAATAGTTTTGTCCCTCGTGTGTTTAGCAGATTTCCTTTTGACTTGTCTGTTATTCACATGTCTTAAAGACAAGCTGCAGGAATTCACAGGGATGTTTGCCTCATTAGTTTGCTATTAAACATTGTGTTAATGGTTTAGTGACATGTCAAATGAACTTTTATATTTGAAAGACACTGGAGTGAAGTAGTTCAAAGGTGAACTCTGCAATCCCTTCACAAACCTGTTAACTGTTGCTGTTTGTTTGCAGGTCCTTGCTAACGGTCTGGACAACAAACTGAGAGAAGATCTGGAGAGGCTGAAGAAGATCAGGGCTCACCGGGGTCTCAGGCACTTCTGGGGGTAAGACTTCTGTTACCGTCTGCATTGTTGGTCCAGTTTGCCAGAGAGCACTGTTAAATCAAATCGATGAAGTTAGGTTGACGACAGCCAAAGATAGAATCACCATAAGCTGTCATGGTGTATCTTCTCCTTGAGCTGCAGTTTGAAGCTGCTCAGTCTTGGTGTCTATGACATTACATTTTGTTAAGGGCTAATTAAAAAAGCTAACGTAGTTTTAATTATTTCAGTGGGATGCTAACTCATAGCGCATTGTATTAAAGTTGTACATTTGGCATCTCAGGGCTTTGGTACATGACATACTATCAGATCAATCTGGAAGGTTGTACCGCTGGATCCAACTGTTTTTTATAAGCTATGTTTTTTTTAAACTAAACTTTATCCTCTCCTTCCAGTCTGCGTGTGCGTGGTCAGCACACCAAGACCACCGGCCGTCGTGGTCGCACCGTTGGTGTGTCCAAGAAGAAGTAAACCCCCTGCTTCCCCTTGTTTCAATAAAAGTCACTGTGGACAGATCTGTTGTAGCGTCATGTTTCTCTTGATACTGCTGAAGGGAACGGCTTCATTAAAGCTCATGAGAGTCCCTGGGTGTTTCGAGTGCCGCTGAAGGACTGTCCCAATGTCCAGCATACTTTGAATTCTACTGAGCCCGGGGTACTTCGTTTGGAGACATTTCAAGGCTTCACATGTGTAGACTCCGATCTTACAATCCCCACAATGCTTTGCGCACGGACCAATTTCCCCAAATCTGTGGCGGAAAATGTAAGGCGGGGCCTCTCATGACGAACATCTGCTAGCCTGTTCAACTCTGTTTTCCGAATGCCAGGAAGTATTCTCGCCTCGCTTCTGAAGCAAGACGCTCTGAAGACATGTGCTACCAAGCAAGCGTACTCGCCATTTGAGAAACACCCCGACTCTTCTGTAGTCGCAGCTTAAAGCCACTCAATGCCTCCCTGCAAAGCTCTACTTAACGCCACATGAACAATTCTGAATAAGTGCAGACAAAACTAAACACTGTGCCACATAACTGAAGAAAACATTTCTTTATCTACAAATGTTCCATAAAACTGTAATATGCATTCAAACGAAATTAAGATATAAATGGTTAAATAAAACTAGTCTTAATGGCCTATAAGGAGACAAGGACCCCCTGTGGAGTGGAAACCATAAAGTGAAATGTTGGCTACATATTTGAAGGTGGAACATAGTCTACACTTTCAAATGAAGTCTTAAGTCACACCTGAAAGTGATTTTAAAAAATCTATCCAACAGGAAACCTGCACTTATCCTTAAAGGAAAAAAACAACGCCATGAATAATATTGCTCATAATGTGTAGTCACCCTGTCCTACCCCAGTGCATGCTGGGATAGGCTCTAGCCTTTGACATGTTAAGCAGTTCTCGAAAATGTATAAGATGCATTTGCAGAAAAGGAAATGTTCAGTACAGCTGTGTCTTAATCTAGTCATGCTGTAGAACAGGTCAGCCCATTAGACAGATACATGAATAATGCACACATTACACTTTTAGTTTTTTCTTCACATTTTTCCACAAAATAATAACTTGAGTCTGAAAGTCGAAGTTAAAACAGATCAGTAACAAACCTTTCACAGAACAGGAAATGATGAATCTCATTAACTTGAGCAATACATTTATGGACAACTATATCAGTCTGAAGAAAGTGAGGAAGAACACACTTTGAATTACAATCAATACTTTTGACTTGAAATGAAATCCCTTCATTTTAATGTTTGAAAATTCTAACGGTGTCAACAAAATGAGAATGAAAAACGACTCACATTTATGACCCAATATATTTCACTTTTCCTGGCTGGCTGCCACATGTATTCACCTTAATAGATTGATATCATTTCCTATTAAGAGACATTCAATTGTGTTTTTATTTTGTGAGTATCTTCTTTCTTTTTTACCCCGTTACCTAAAAATAATTCATTCACATTTCAAACACCCCGACTGCACAGCTTTGTCTTTATAAACGTGGTCGGTTGTTAAATGTTCGAACGCAGCCTGATTATTCACCAGAACACAAGCCAAGACTCTTGTTTTTGCTTCTTCTTGATGTATCCTCCAAATATCTGGTCTCAGATCAGATTTCATAACATCCAAAAGTGATCAAGACTGTTCCAGTACACTTGAAAAAGAAACGCTAAAAGAGTGGTGCAGTGAGGACATTTTGTTTTGTAGGCCGAGGGATTTACTGACATATCTCATGTCGTAAAACAAATCATATCCATAGCTTGTGTTAACCACACCCCTTATTCCAGGCATCTAACCAAATCTAATAAATACAAAAAACGACTTTAAAAGCAAGTGAACCCAGGGTTTAGGCTTCATTCTGGAACCACACTGGGGTGCCCCCGCTCACCCGTCCCTCTGAGGGGGGGGGGACTTCTGCTGTGGCTGCGGGGCTGCCTGCTGCTGGTCTCTGGTGGGAGCGTAGTGAATCTCCAGAGGCCTCCTCACCTTCCAGTATTTCTCCTCGACCAACTCCAGAGTCAGAGAGCCGTTCAGCGTCTGGGGGAGGGAGGGGAGGGGGGTCGAATGAATGGAAAATAATGAAGACATTGAAACTGTAGTGATTAAAAGATACAGTAGATGCTAGCTAAATGTGAACTGAAGCAGTGAGGTTGTTCTGGATTTGTGTTCGGACCGCAACTGAAATGAATTTCTATATGTTGTTTGTGTTTAAATTCAGCGACGGTTTGTGTTTAGGACTGCAAATGAAAATGATTGTTGTTCATGGTTTAGCTGCAGATTATGTTCTAGATTCATTGTGAAATACCAAAAGGTACCGCTTAACGATGTTGCATTTTATACTTACACAGATTCTCACATTGTAGAAATGTTTAAATTGTTTCAAAAATAAAATAATTGTTCTTATTTTCTGATTAATTTTCTATGTTTATGCATTTTTTTGGTGTATGTTATGTGTTATATAAATATATATACATTTTCTTCTTCCATTACGTTAGTCTTGATAAAGATGTGCATTTTTTGGTTCATGCTTAATTATATATTTTTTTAGACTTCTTTTTCCAGTGCTGGAACAAAAAGTACATTTTCTACGACATTTGCACTATTTCTTTTTAAATGTTAAAAGATACTTTTGTAGATCAATGAATAGTTGTTAGTCTATGCACTGGTATTAGCAAACACTACCACATTTTTTTTATAAATAAGTTCAGTCGGGCACTACGAGTGTTAAATGGACAGCCAGTGAACGGTTACTAGCATTCCTGTCCAAAGTCAGACGAGGACTTTGTTAAATATCATTCTTATATTTAAGCCCATGTTAAGCTCTTGTGATGGCAGTGGCAGAGTGCTTGTTGGATGACTCACAGAGAACTGTCCTCCTCTCGTCAGGATGTAGATGGTGTGATGTTTCCCAAGCCCTCTCCATTTCCTGCTCTTCCTCCACTCTCTCCTCCTCCCCCTGCTGCTCCTGTTTCCTCTCCTCTTCCTCCCCCTCCCTCCTCCCTCCCTCTGTCCTCCATCTCTGCGTCAGTCTGTCAGTCGTCCAGGGCGATGCGCAGAGCCAGGTATTTGGAAATGTGGTCCACAGTGGCATTGACCGTCGTGCTCAACAACCTGCAGGGAGAAAGTTTGATAAACAATGAGTAGAAAGGAAAGACAGATATTCATATACACTACTGAAGCATTCACAGCACACAATTAATGTTTAAATCATTTGAATCTGATTCCAATTCAAGTTAAAAGGCAGTTTCTCATCTGTGAAGGTTTAACCTTTTCTGTAAACTGACATGGTTACCAAAGTTGTTGGTGTGACTATTGTAGTGACACAATACCAGTCACCTGTCTGTAGATATTACACCAAATATAAAGAGATAGACATTTCAAATACAAAATGTGGGTTTGCCTAGAAATTCTGTCGTCCCTGTCGCAATCTATATTGTTGATGAAAAGAGACCAAACTACAATACATACAGAAAGAAAATCAACTTTAGTTCAATCTTTCTTAAATACTTGATTTTCTTTACTGGGAACAAAAAAGAGGAAAGAAAATATTATAGACTGTACTATTTTAGACTAAAATTGTCAATAGCTTTCGTTGGCTAAGACTATAGGAACATATTTACAGGGTTTCTTTCACTAAAATAAAGATAAAATGAAATACAATATCATCTGAGTTCACAGATCAGAGGCCTTACTGCTTTCCCTCTTCTTACAGTACGCTCCTACGGGGGAGATTGACTTACATTTCTCATACAAATATTCTGTTGAGGGAATTCAAAGCACATTCAACAAGTTATTCCTGTTGAAGTTTATTCAAAAATACAATTTGTTTGGGAAAAACGATTGTTAAAACCCATTACAAGGTGGCACAACACAACATGAAATGAGACATAATTAGCTCTAACGAAGAGAGGCAGTAAAGATTCGGATTGTTATGTGTGTGTTTCTGGTTCTTGTGTCAATTGAACTCTTGACCTAGTTATTTAAAATGTTGAAGGCATCCTAGTAACTCTGTTTTGTTTTGTATTTAATGTTGTTTTTTTGTGTGTGTACGAGTTGGTATTGTCATCTGACTTTACTGCCGAGTCATTTCTGTGAGTGTTTTGCCTGTACTAAATATAAGAATCGAAATAAAGAAACCTCTAAATGGTCCGGTCTCACCTGGTCTGGTTGTAGTCCTGGCCGCGGACCAGCTCGGGGTGGGGTTTGAACATCAGCTCGATTTTGGAGGCCGGCCCCTCTTTGTGGTGGCGTGGC